GTTGAATAAGTCGAGCAAGCATGGCAGAAGGCCAGCATGGATGGACATGGAGCTCCTGACTGAGCTCAAACACAAAAAGGAAGCACACAGAAGGTAGAAGCAGGGATGGGCTAACAGAGAGGAAGAAAAAGGCCTTCTTGCCTGCACATGTAGAAATGGAGTCAGGGAAGCCAAAGCTCAGCTGGAGTTGAAACAATGAAGGGAGGTGAAGGGCAACAAGAAAGGTTTCTCCAAGTACATCAGCAGCAAAAGGAAGGCTAAGGAAAGCGTGGACCCATTGCTCAGTGGGGCAAGGGACCTAGTGACAAGGGGCATGGAAAAGGTTCAGGTACTCAATACCTTTTTTTTTTTTCCTTAATTTTCACTGATAAGGCTTGTCTTCAGGCCTTCCAGATTCCTGAGCCTCCTACCAGAGTTTCTGGTAGTGAAGCAGTACCCACAGTAGAGGAAGAAAGAGTTAGGGAGCTCTTAACCCACTTGGACATACACGAATCCATGGGACCAGATGGGATGCACCTGAGGGTGCTGAAGGAGCTGGCTGATGTCATTGCAAGGCCACTCTCTATCATCTTAGAAAGGTCATGGCAATCAGGAGAGGTTCCTGAGGACTGAAAAAAGGCAGATGTCACATCCATCTTCAAGAAGGGCAAGAAGGACGATCCAGGGAACTACAGGCTGGTCAGCCTCACCTCAGTCCCAGGTGATGACACCAATTTGGAGGGAGTGGGCAATACACTGGAGAACAGGGCTGCTATTCAGAGGGACCTGTACAGGTTGGAGAAATGGGATGACAGGAACATGATGGAGATCAACAAAGGCAAATGCCAAGTCTTGTATCTGGGATGGAATAACCTCATGCAGCAATACAGACTGGGGGGCCAACTGTCTAGGAAGCAGCTCTGTAGGGAAGGCTCTGGGGGTCCTGGTGGTCAAGTTGAACTTGAGTCAGCAATATGTCCTGGCAGCAAAGAAGGCCAACCGCATCCTGGGCTGTATTAGTAAGAACGCAGCCAGCAGGTCCAGGGAAGTGCTCCTCCCCCTCCATTTGGCACTTTTGAGACTGCATGTGGCATGCTGCCCCCTCCTGCAATACAAGAAAAACATTGACATACTGGAGCAAGTCCAGCAGAGGGCCACCAAGCTGGTCAGGGGGCTGGAGAACATGACATACAAGGAGAGGCTGAGAGAACTGGGCCTGTTCAGCCTGAAGAAGACAAGGCTCAGGGGAGAACTTACTGCTGTCTACAACTACCAGATCAGAGGATACAGAGAAGATGGAGCTGGACTCTTCCGGGAGGTGCACGGTGATAGGATACAGAAAAGATGGAGCTAGACTCTTCAGGGAGGTGCACGGTGATAGGTTGGGAGGCAATGGACCCAAGTTGGAACATGGGAAATTCCAATTAGATATTAAGAAATTTTTTTTTTACCATGAGGGCGGTTAAATAATGAAACAGGTTGCCCAAAGAGGTTGTGGAACCTCTGTTCTTGGAGGTGTTCAAGACTCGACTGGACATGGCCCTGAGCAACCTGATCAAGTTAGACCTGTTCTGAGCAGGAGATTGGACTAGATGATCTCTGGAGGTCCCTTCCAACCTAAATTATGATTCTATGATAAGATACAGACTGATTGGTTAGTTTTTGATGGAACTTATAATGAGTATCCAGTATCAATTTATGGAGGGACTAGCACCCCGTCATAATATACATACATACTCACACACACAATCTTATCCAGTATCATGTGCCCCAAGTATAAAATGAAAAAACTTAAAATGAAAAGGGCTCAGCAGAAATATATATTTAATTAAAAGTTAAGCATCTTTGGAAAACTTAGGGAACCTTTCAAACCACTACTTGAGGCGAGTCCAGATCTATATATAATAGTATTCATTCTCTGTTCAATGTATTTATTTACTCTCCAGATTGAACAGAGGATAAAAAAAGATATGCCTGAGATGGAAAGCCATAGCTCTCTGTTTTGTTTAGGATCAGCTGTTCTTGCATCATTTTTCACTGCAGCCAAAGGGCCTGTTTGATCTTTCTGACTGTTCATCACACATAATTTCAAATTTTTAACATTATGTCAAGAAAATTGCCCGCTGTTTCCCCATAGGTGGAAACCTATGGAAGCTCTGTGTCTTTAAACTAATCGTAGTTAAACTATTCCATTGGATAGCATGACTGTCTCACTATAATTGGTGCAGCAATAATGTAATTAATCTCAAAATTGCTGTGGGGAGTAGAAGGCATCTCAGTTGCTTGTTGTAACAATCTAAATTAGTGCATTACTGAAAGATGTTGGGGAGGAACAGTTCATTTTAGGTAAATGCTATCAGGGTATCCATTCTTTCTCTTTCTAAAGCTGAAATTAAAACTATTATCATAGTTGCCCTTTTGAAATCCAAATGACTGTTTTGAGGTGGGAAAGTATAATTAAATTTGATGTGGTATTCCTACAGATGCAGTTATGCATTTTAGAATAATTAATTTTGTTTGAATAAAAATTCATGTTTTATTTAGAAAAGAAAAACTGGTTTGGCTGAAAGCATGCCATTGTATCAGAACAATTTCCTTCTGTCACTGAAAATTCACAGAAAAAATACTCTTGCTATTTTACAGTTTTGTATTGACATCCTATAATTGTTCTACTTGGAGAGATTTTGTCTAGGCATGCAGGTCCTCTAATGTAGCACATAGAGAAGTATTTTAAATAATTTAATGTAATAGTGATACCATTAATAATAATGCTTAATGATAATAAATTGCAGAGAATTGCTGGTGCAGAAGCCTGGAATCCCACACTTGGTGTTGTATAACTCCATCACCTTTTCTCAAAAACTAAATCAAACATCAAATGAAATGAAAAACTATATTATGAAAGGTTATGAAAGGTGACAAAAGTAGTAAATCAAAGGCAATTTGACCTCTTAATTCTCTAGGGTGCCACAACACAAGAATAGGAAATGTTTTCAGTTTGCTGCTACTCTGAAAGCATTAGCTGAGTAAAACTTATTTTTAAGGTTAACAGATTAATCTTTTATCTGCAGATAATCTGGAGAGTTGTTTTTTGGAAAGAGTTGAAACAACTTTTCTTGCTCAGTAAATGGACTTCACAATATTAAAATGACAAAAGGATATTTGTCAACTGACAGAAAGTTAGATACTTCATTTAGCTGTTGTGTTTTTACATTCGTGATCCAAAGCAAAATACTGAACAAGCTATAGAGATTATCACCTAAATCTGCCTTTGTAACATGTTTAAGAAATCAAAAGGTAAGAAATAAGCACTGAATAATTAAAGAAATACATAATACTAAGGGCCTGATTTAATTTGCATATTTCCCCTTAATATTGCCTAAATAAGACATCAGTTTAAAATAAAGTTCCAACAGAACTCTAAGATGTTCCACACTGGATTAACATTAAGGACTTTTACTGGATAGCTTAACTGGACTTTGTTATTCATGAAAATTTTATACAAATTAAAATCAGTTCCTGTGTGCAGTGTTCCCAGTTGAGGCTCAGAAAAAAGAGATTGAAAGACTTTTAATCCATGGACAGACAGCAATTTGTAGTCTAAAGCTGAGATACTCCAATTTCAATGGTTGGTTTAATTTGCATCAATGCTGTAAACCCATAAAAATCACATTACTGGGACTTCTCCCTCCAAAGTAAACTGTGACTTTACAGACCAACACATTTTAAAAATATGTACAAAGTTATGCAGCTGGATCAGAACGTTAGCCAATTGGTGCCCAATAACCACAATGACTTTTTGAACAGCCCAGAAGGACCTTATCTGTTATTCAACATAGAAACACTGATTCAGTATGAAGTTCTATTGCTGTCATGCCGAAATGCTCACTGAAGGGCTTGTCAGTTGTGCTAAATATGTTTATAATGACAATCCCTTTATGTTTATCAAAGCTGATAATATGATCTTGTCAAAAAAGACTAATTCTTGGGAGCAGGGAAACCTGAGCAAGTTACACTGCCACTTCAGTGCATATTCCCAAGTATCCCCCTAAAAAATACTACAGTACAAGTTATAGGACTGCATAGGAGCATTTCAGACAAGGCAGCAAACCTAGAAACCAGACCAGCAGCAAAGATTACATTACACTGACACTGGAAATATTTCAAGTGTTGACAGACCAAGGCTCAACTGCAGTTTGTCCTATAATGCAGATCACATGTTAATGCTATGTGCTGATTCTATCATGAAAAGTAGTCTTGCAAATAGTCCTTTACAGCTTACTTTTCTAATGAAAACCACAATAATTTCCCACATCAGAAACAAGTTTGAATCAGTATAGCAGCCAGGAACACACAATTGTTATTGCATGTTCTTTACAAAATAAAGAAAAAAACAAGTCTATGGGTTTGTGTCATATTCATTACTGAAATGTTTTTTCATCTGTGCAAAGAATTGTCAAGCATCTATAAAGCATAGCAAGCATTATCCTGCCAGATTTTATCTTAATTGTTGGTTTATAAATATACCTGCATGTTGTTTTGTGTGTTTGTGTGAGTGTTTATTTTAGCACGTTCCTTGCTCTTCTCTGCAGCAGGAGCTTCATCTGTGTTCTAGCATGTAAACCAAAGGTGAGAATTACAGTGACTTTTAGCATTAGGCTTACTGGAGTTTCCTATCACTCCTGTAGCCCTGTTGCATATAGAACTGCCACTGAAGAGTTTTGTGTGCAAGAGGAGTGTGGGACTAGGATCTGTTCTGTTAGTGCTACTAGATCATTCAATACAAGTATTTTTATTATGCTTGACAGAGCAACAGTGAGTGAATATAACTAACTAATCTGCTCCAGCAAACAACCCCATTTATATATCCATGTCTAATTGTAAAACTTGCTAAATCACTTATATTCCAACTTCTGGGTTGCCCTGGTACCACAAATAGTGAGATATCAGGTCTAAATACCCTAGAAGATACACATTTTTCATAGGATTTCTTTTGGAGTGTTCATGTTGTTTTACAGTACCTGGCTAGTCTGAGGAGTGGATGGATCATAAGAAGGTACATAATTCTTCAGAGTATCCTGAGGATTCAGGTGGGGAGGATATCTGATTGTTGGATGAGAGAAGTAGGTAGATGGGGCAGGAGGGAGAATAGCTTGTGCTGGAAATGGCAATGGTGAAGGTGGAGGTGGAGTTCTAGTTGAGATGACTAGAAAAAATAAAATAAAATAAAATAAAAATTATTTTGCATCTTGTTTCTTGTAAAATTCTTCATCTCTGTATTACAGCAAGAAAAATAAAAAGTCAGTTATAAACCAGCACAATGTACTTTTGTTTCATGCTATCTTTACACAAACTTTTGTGTCCTCCCCTCCCAGCATCTCAGGGAATGGAAAGGGCTGTTATTCCAAATTCATAAATATTATTTTATACATAAATATTATTTATAAACTATATTTTCTTTGTTTTATGGATGATGCCATCTTTTGATTTCATTTTTATTTAAATGTAATAATGATACTTCAGCAGAAAATGTATTCCAGTTATAAAATTTTCCTCTCTGGAGCCCAAATTAATAAAATAAATAAATTGCTAAATAAAGTAAAGCCTATATATTTGGCCACAGCAATCCAACAGAGAACAAAGTCACCAAGTCCTAGGAAACAGATAGTGATTCCTCACTGTACTGTACTCTACCTGCTTCATGCAGCCACAGGGCAATAATTATTAAAAAATAATACCATGAATAATTAGCTGAACATTATGAAAACTATCAGGGCCCTGAGTGCACCAATAGGCCATAATGGCCCTGACCAGCCTCACCTGGGGCCTCCACCCACACCCTCTGCCCATAGGCCCAGGTGCTCCATTTAAGCTCAGGCCTGGGTCTTCAGTCCCTGCCTGAGCTATATTGTAGAGCTCTTGCTCAGTTATAACCATGTCTATGTCTGGCCATGGACCTTATTGATCTAGATGCTGACCTGCAGACTGACTTCCTGGCTTGACCTTGGACCTGCCTCATCACCACAAACTTGTGTGAGGATTTGGGCTCTTGGTTGAACCTGGCTACCATCTCTGGGCCTGCCCTGCTCACCTTGCTTGGGTGCTGTGGGACTGGGCCTTGGCTGGTGAGGCCCCTGCCCTGCTGGCCATGTTATCATGCTTGGCTCCCCCTCCCTTAGGGAGCAGCCAGCCCTTGCTGCTCCCTGACAGAAGTGCTAATGAACACTTTACTTCAGGGCCTGGGAAACCATTCAATCCAATTAAAATGTTTCTGGCAAACAAAAAGGGATCTATCCTATATACCTCTGCATTTTCTTTCTTCCTGCTCCTGACAAAACAGCCTTCTTTATCTTTAGACTATATGTCAAAATGACCAATGATATTTTCATGGGAAAGGAACGTATGGAATGCCCTGCTACTGATGAGTCAAGCTAGAATTGGACAGTGTTACTCTTAGGCTTATATAGCAATCTACATGCTGCCCTTATTACACATCTAGAGGGCACTTTTTCTGTGCCTTATCAAAAGGGAGAGACAGTACAATGGAAGTGGGAAAAAAAACCCCTGTGATTGGTCCGTTAGTGGAAGGGTACAAAATGAGATATACAATGAGATATGTATATCAAAGGTATTCTTAAAATTGCTCACTGCTTTTATGTTATAATTCTATACTGTATCAGCACAAGCATACCACAACAATACACCAACACTGGCCTGGCATCTCACCTCTCCTATCTTCTGTTTTTTGGTTCAATTTTTAAACTATTTATTTGCAGTTTTTGAGATGGGAACAAGTAAGGCAACAGGAATGTTTCCAAATTGTACTTTGTCATCAGAACCTTGCAAATCTCAACCGCTGCTCACTGAGATAATAGAATAGGGTACCCAGGATGGAAATCAGGCTTCTTGGCAAGTAACTTGTTCATCTACAGAATTAACATATAGGCTACGATTGCATCTTGTCACTTAAATATGTTACATCTAAATATTATACACTAGAGTAAATATAAGGGTCTACACACAATTGAAGTTAGGGTCAAAAAATAATTATGGGAGTTTCTTTCTTGACAGGTTTGTCTCATCTGAATCACAGTGACTGACATATGGGAGCTGTGCAAAATAAACACAAGTGAGCTGAAATCTATCTTTTTTGGTGCATGCATCATCTCTGATGTGATTAAGTAATTTCTGATTGTGGAATCATTACACAAACCAGAATGAGTTCAGACTGATTTTCATATTATGGAATGAGTGAATATTGAGGTGGGGGGGGGAATTATTTACTTCTAAATTGAAAGACAGTAACTTGAAATCATAATGAAGAAATATTATGAAAGAGAAACTTTTCAGAGCAGAGCTATGTGTTCAATATGAAAAAAAAGGCTCAAATCTGCTTTGCTCCTTAAGATATCCAACTGTGCTCAAGAAATGTGAGCCACTGAGGGGAGAAATCTGAGTGCCAAATACTAATCTAGGGAATTAAGAGGTCATGTTTTATAAAATGAACAAACCGTGTGCTGAAAATTCCCTATTATTCTTTAACTTGACAAAGCATCACAATTCAAGTACTTTCTTCACCCTTTAATCTCTGCATGCAAATCCCATATAAAATCAAAGAAAGTTTGACTATAGATTTTAGAAAATAGTTGGTGAAAAATATCAGAACTCTGTCTCTCTAGACAGAATGTCCAAAAGAAACCTTGGTATCTATTTCACTGTTTCACATACTCAGTATGGTTATGACTTCTACTGGGTATGAAACTGAGTGAAATCTTACCTACTAAGGTATGTAATATAATACACTCATAGTAACAACAATTAAAAAAGGATACAAATGGAGGGAGGAAAGATTTGGGAGGATTTTTCCTCTGTCAATTTCTTCATGCAGTTGGTTTATTTTATTCACTGGCTTATCTTAGTCCTTTCCAGTGACTTGAAACAGTGACCTGAAAGCTATACTTAATGAGGAGTCCTGCAAGGAAACCACAAAATCTGCAACACACTCACTTAATTCCCTTTCCACTCTCATCAATTATATAGTAACATGGGATTGAATCTCTAAGAAAAGCTGCAAAAACTGCATCAGAAGAGACCAAATAAATAGGGAGGTATTTCTTCCTCCTTCATAGCCCTCACCACTGTGTGCAACTCCTGGGATTCCTGGATGGTGATGCTGGGGAAAAGTGCTCAGTCTTGGTGAAGAATCCTGGGGAGATGTAGGACTAAACAAAGGCTTTTCAGCTTTCTTCACTGTAGGAGAAGACATATCTGAAACGGAAAGATCGCATAACATTCAAATTAGCCTAGAAGCCCAGTGTTAAACTTCAGGACAACTAATTTTGTAAACTGAAAATATTTATGTTTACAGCTCTTTTTATAAATCTTGTTTGGTGAGCCAACTCCCCTGTTACCAATTAACTAATTTTAAACTATTGCTTTCCAACATATGAATGAATATTATTCCACTATTCTTCGTCCTAAAAAAAAAAAAGCCTACATCCCTTTCATACCAGACAAGCCAAACAGTGAAGCCTTACAGAACATCACAACATTATCTGCTCCTTAAACAGCCACATATTCTTTATTGCACTTTTTAATGGAACACCTATTGTCCAATGGACATACCGTACGACCCTTGTTGTTATTGGGCAAAATGAATATTCTGGGGATGGATATTCTGAAAGGGCAGTCTTGGATAGATAGCTGGGGTAAATGGGAAATTGGCAGTCCTCCAGTTACAGGAAAAACTAATCTCCATATGATTAAGCCTATGAATCTCCTACAAATAGCCCCACCCCTGCCTAATAACAAACCAGTCAATATTGCTCAATATAAACTACCTGCTCCTGCCACAAAACCAGTGACAGAATTACCCAAACAACTAGAGCAACAGGGTATTATAGAAAGAACCCATTCACCATATAACAGCCCAATATGGCCTGTTAAAAAACCAGACGGGACGTGGCACGTGACTATTGACTATAGGGCTTTAAATAAAGCAACTGGTGCTTTAACAGCCGCTGTTCCTAGCATAGTGGATATAGTTAATAGAATAAATGAACGTGCTTTTCCGTGGATGAGCGTGTTAGATATAAAAGATATGTTCTTTAGGATCCCTATACAAGAGCAAGACAAACAAAATTTGCTTTTACTTGGGGTGGAATACAATACACCTTTAATCACCTACCCCAAGGTTTTAAACATAGCCTCACCATCGGCCATGCTATTTTTAGCTAAAGAACTAGACTCAATCATCCTTCCACCTGAAGTAACGATTTTACCATATATAGATGATATTCTAATCGGAGGACCAGATGAGGAAACGGTTCGCCAAAGTATGAACGCTATTGTCCAGCCAGCACTTGCAAGGATTAAATATTAGCATTCCCAACTCAAAACAGCGAGGACCAAGTCAAGCAGTTATCTTTTTAGGTACTCGATGGATAGGAGGACGGAAACTGTGCCAGAATCTGTATTAACAGAGATACAAAATATTCCGGCACCTTCTGATAAAAAAAGAATTGCGGGCTTTATTAGGAACTTTTGGGTTTTGGAGGTCACACATTCCTGGATTCAGTATTCTCGCGAGACCTCTGCATGATTTGCTGAAGAAAAACGCGGTATGGAACTGGGAACAAAAACATCATGAAGCATTAACTGCTTTAAAAGATGAAATAGTTACTTACCAGCCTATGGGACCGATCCACCCTACACCCTACCCTATAGAAAAATAATAAACATATTTAACTTTGGGGTAAATTTAGCTTCACATATAGCATTAATTTTAATGGAAGCTTTGTATTTTTTTCTCTTTTGGATAAAAATATAAAATTAAATTTTAATTGTAAATAGTGTCCAGATACTAGTCATTTCCTGGCTCAAATTCTTTAGCACATATGGCACTAGCATAATCTTGTGACAGCCTACCTATTCTGGGTAATTTTGTATGCAAATAGTTTAGTATTGAGTTACTAGAATGTGTTTAGTACACTTGAAAATATTTGCATTGCAAAAGGAGAGCTGATCTCCTGAGGAAAATCAAATTGATATTTTATATTAAGGGACTACTTTGGACATTGTGTGGTACTGTTCTTTGGAAAAGATTTACAGTACAGCTAGCATATTTAATTGACCTTCATAAGAGAAGGACCCACTACTGCTTCAACAAATTCATAAGCTATTGGAACATTCTCTAATATTCATTCCTCACAGTGCTCTTTTTATAATTCTGAATCTTTGCTCTGATAATTTCACCACTTACTTTGATTCCCTATGAACAGGCTTAGCAGTGATTGCAGTGTTCAGTAAGTTCTCAGGAGACAAGTTGGTTGGAAAAAAGAAAGAGCACTTATTAATGACACAAATAATTAGTGCAGCTGGGTATGCTTTGGCTTCTGGAAATGTCTATTTCACATTGGACATGCTCAGAGGCTCAACACATGGCCACTGCTATGCTTCCCTTACATATCTGTGTTAGTCTATCCATTCCCATACTAGTAAATTGATATTCAGGCTTATGTTTCCCCATCCCCCCACCCCTTTTAGTTATATAAATTGCTCTATGACAATATTTGTCTTTGAAACAGCATGTAACTGGTCAGTACATCATCTAATATTTTACCAGTCCACTTAATTGGTCCATGCCATTTGGATTCTGTCCTTTTTGTATCTGGCCAGCTCCCTCAAGACATGGGACTAGAGTGACTCACTCCATTCTGATTATGTTAAACTTTCAGCTGTACTCACTGTGGTCATTCTGGAGTCAGCACTGACTCAACACTCATGCCTTCTGTGATACCAGAATTTCTCACGCTACTGCCAATGGAGCTTGCCTCAGGTCCCATAGCATGAATGCTGTTTGTCAAGGTGGCTTTTGAATTTTCCTTTTGGCCCTTCACAACATTCTACCTATAATCCAGCCTCAAATTTCTGTAGCTTCAGCACCATGTATAGGATAGCATAACATTAGAATATTTTCATTTTGATTTTTGTAGCTCCTGATGCAAATACAACTTGTTGCCTCTCCTGCAGAAAAAGCTCGGCTGGGGTCCAACTGAAAATTGCCTTATACAACTACCATAAACACTTGAAAAGAAAGGTGTAAGCACATTGGAGAATATTGTTGATGCTGTAGCCCTTGATGTAGAGGATAATCAGGATCAGGGCAGAGGGGGTGGGAGACTGTGCAATCAGCCATACAATTCTGCAACAAGACAGTGGCCTGCAGGGCTAATTCCTTAGCACTGACCAAGGCTGTGCTTCATTCCTTCTGAAGATGTACTGAGAGATGATGCAACTGATTAGCTAAGTCTTAGCAATTTAAAATTGGTGGATTGATGATCTGCATGCAACTGCTCAAATGCCTGTTTATGAACGTCTACCCAATACCAGGGGTTTGAGACTGAATTGACAGTGCAGAGACTAAATGGACTTGGATACCAAAGCATTACTAGTCACAGATATATTTAATGTTGACGAGTGACACAATTTCCTTGTTCCACAGGAGAGATGGCACAGTCCAGGAGAGAAGCCAGGAAGGTCAGCGTAACGGTTTCTCACATGACCTTCCTGCCCCACAGGGAAATTGACATGGTGCAGGAGAAAGTCGGGCAGGTCAGCATAGTGATTCCAGCCATGCAGTGCATAGCCTGGGGGCAGAGCTGTGAGATCTCCTCTGTTAGAGCCCTCAGGCAATCCTAGAGCCTGTCTGGGGAGTCTTCTTCCAGGTGAGGAACTCATCCAGGCTTTTGCTCTCTCAGGGTCTCTTCTGAATCTCTCCCCAAGCAACTCCAGACCACATCAGTTATAGGATTGGGTGGAGAATACCCCATTCTGATTGGCTCAAATTCCCATGGTGCCTAATGATTGGCTGTCACTGTTGCTGGTCCTCACAGTCTATCCCTCTGGAAGGTTCTCCACACATTGGTCACGACACAGCATTTAACAGGTTAGTTATAGGGGAGTAATTTGAGGGTAAACAAAGTTTAACCAGTCCCAACCCTATGCCAAACTACCACATCTGTACACATAAGTCTCTGTAGATCTATTTTACATTGTGCATGTAGTATTTCAATTGTTGCCTTTTTTGAAATCTGAATTAGCAATTAAGCTATCTTTAGTCAATTTATGTCCAATAGACATAATGGCTACAACATCAATTTTTGGACTCCTTAAAATTCAGAGATTTCTGTTCTCCCTATAAGGACATTCCATAGGTTTTCGTTATTTTTTATGATTTCCAACCCAAGTTAAATCATCATTCATTACAATGTCAGCACCTTGTAGTCCTTCAAACATCTGTGAAATTACTCTTTAAAATACCTCAGGAGCAGAACTAATATCAAATGGCATGTTCTTAGGCTTCAAACCTCTAAATGGTATATTTGGACTAGATGATCTCCAGAGGTCCCTTCCAACCTCAACCATTCTGTATATTTAAAGTCATCTAACTTAACTTATCCAACTTGCCGAAAGGCAAGCCCTGAATCCAAAATTTCAAATACAATTGTTTCCAACAGATTAACTGGTACTTCATCAGTTTTCATTGGATAACACATATCTTTCTTTTGATACCTTTTCTGGAAGGGTGTAATGCTTATTAAGCACTTGGGAGACAGACTAATTGGAAGGAAAACGTAAGACTTCTATTAACTGCATGATGCTCTTAGACATTGTTGAGGCTTTAAAATGTTTCTAAATTATTCTGGGCATGCTCAGAGACTTACCAAAGGCCATTTGTCCTGTGCAGTATATAGTAGATCTAAATTATTTGTCAAGAGCCCTAGAATGATGCAGCTGAGAACCTGGAATGATGAAAAACATCCCTTCTGCAAGCTACCTTGTCCTCAGAGCCTTCCTAGCAGAGTACTGTACTATTAGTCCAGAAGCTGCTATCTTATATTATTACTTTTTCAATCCTTATTTCCATTTATGTACTTCCATGTGTCAGTGAGCCAAAATTTGGGGAATGGGAGGGGGCACAACTGGTTTTAAATGCTGCCATATATATTTATGTGGTAGAAGAAACCACTGGGAAATCATAAGGCTTTTGACCCTCAGGAAGGCATTAGAGTTGAGTTTGATTTCCAGGTGCCAACAAAGGAATTTGTTACAAGTGAGTCAACTCAAGATATTGCCTCTTTTGGGATTGAGTTGGGAAAAATAAAAAAGAGCTGAATTCCATGTTACTCAGCAAGTATCCTCTTTTTCTTTCCCAGTACCAGTAGCCCAGCTAACCACATGCTTGGTGGTTCTCATCAGTGAGACAC